TGAGCAAGATTATTTCTGTTGTTTTATCTTTTTAAAGGATCTTCAATAGTTTTAACTTATGGATGGGAGACGATTTGTTGAAAGCGAGCCTTTAAAGATGGTATTTTGTTCTATTGGGTCAAACACTTTTTTCATAATCAACAAATAGTAAGCATTAAGCCAGCTCTATCTCAAACCTGAAATAGAATTTAATCAAATTAGAATTTTGAGAGAGTAATAATGCACAAAGTTCTCTAGGTATAACTCAAATATGTCTTCAAAAATTACATTGTTAGACTTTTATAAAGCAGATCATAGCTTAAATTCACTAGCTATTTCAAAGATTCTAGGGGAATTCTTTTGAAAAGTGAATAAATCTTTTGTCAAATAAATAATACACCTCCATCTCTTTATAAAATTAGATTTTCATATATAGTAGCAAATTTACAAGAGGAATATTCTTGTGTATATACTGCATGAGACACACAGGTCTGCATCCTCTCTGTAACTTAAAGTCTTGGGAAATTGCCTAGAACACTTAAGAGATTGTGTCTCTCCCAAGGTCACAGAGTCGCTGTGTGTTAGAGGTAGGATTTGAACCCATGTTTTCCTAGCTCAGAAACTGGCTTTATATCCACAGTTTTGCTGGAGTTTTGTTTGTTTGAGACTTTTCTTCAACTATAAAATTCAACAATTTATTCATCTACAAAATGAGGAGCTAGTTCATAAAATGGACTAGATGGTCTCAAGATTCCTTCCAACTCTGCATCCATTAGGTATGACTACTAGTCAAAGAACATAATGTAAACAGTCAAAGTAAGAGAGGCAAGCACCATGAATTACTCCTTTTCAGTAATTCTTTATGGGGTAACAGAATTTAGATTTGGCAAAAATCTTAGAGAAAATCCAGTGTGACCCTCTGGAGTTATAGCTGAGACTGGAAGAAGAAAAGTGACTTACTCAGTCACACAAATAGAAAGTAACAGAACCAGAGGTTGAACCCAAATCTTACAGTTTGATTCAGTGTATTTTCCTACTGTACAGCTTAAGAAGCAACTGCCAGCATTAACATCTTGGAATACAAATGTAATCAACTTTGTAAATAGTTTTTAATGCCTGTCTTGAAGCCTGGGCTTCCTTATTCCTCCTCTGGAAATAATATTGGTAATTTAGTGTTTATGGCAGTATGAATGGATAGATTATTAAGCCCCTATACAGGGAAGTAGTAGACTGAATTTTTACTTTGAGATTATTGCTATTTCAGGTCCTTAAGGACCTTTGAGAAGTTATGAAAAATATTTCCTAATATGATTATTGTTCTTTTGTGTTGTCTCTGCTGACATCCTTATTGAGAGTAGGGATCATTCACTTTTTGCATTTGTATCCCCTAGCACATAGCATAATGCTTAGTAGTTTCTTAATAAATGCTTATTGATTGATTATATGTATATTCATATACCCTTCATGATGACAACTTAATTTGTAAAATGGTGGTGAAAACATTGCTCTTATATGTAGAACCAAACCCCATTTCAATTATTCAGCAAGTTTGTATTGAGCAACTCCTAGGTGGCCCTGCAGTCGGTACAGTGAGGGATATGGGAAGTACAAGACAGGGTCCTTGTTTTAAAGGAGTTTATCGTTTTTTAAATTGATTTTCTTTGTTAGTTATTAGGGAACCCACATCTAATTATATCGCTGCAAAATAGAATAAGCATTCTTCTTTCCTTCTCATGATCATCTTTGGTTAGATGTCACATTAGGGCACTCATTACAGTAGCTGATACTGGAATCCCGACCTTTTCAGGTAAGACAGCTTGTGCAACCTGCATCCTTGAAGGAAGTAATACCCCAATTGATGGTGATGCTTCATTTTTGAAGAGGACCAATGACATCACGATATGAGCAATGTCTTGACTTGCACACAAATTGGGTTTAAGTGAGGCAGAGCTACATAGAGTCCTTAGCCTCTCTCTTCCAGAGTCATCTAGCTCCCTCATGAGGTCACATTCTCTAAATCCAACCTCTTTCAGCACACTGCCAGTCAAGTAGTATTTAATGTTACTCTGAACCAGAATCAGTACCAACTACCTGTTGTTTAAGCAAAGAATTTAAAATTGATTTGTAGTAAAGAAAACATTTGAGCTTTTGATTAAAATTTGCTACATTAACTTCATTATGTTCTGATCTATCTTTAATTGTTGTCTTGCCCATTGTGTAGAACATTAGAGTTTGACCATAGAGCTATTTACTGACTAAAGATTGTATTATGTTCTTGTCTCTACACCCTTGCTTTGGGGTTATTTTCCTTAATTCGCTATTAACTTGCCCTTTGTCTTCTGACATCTTGCCCGTGACCTTGTAACTGAGAAGGAAATTTTCATCTTATGTTTTATAAAGCAGTATTTTTTTGTTACTTTATCCCCACCCATATGTATTCTCCATTTATTAGGTTAAGGACAGCTGGACAATACAGTGGATAGAGCACTAGAACTGGAGTCAGAAAGACCTAATTTCAAATCCTGCCTCAGACACTGACTAGTTGTGTGATTCTGGGCAAATCATATGTTGTTTCATTATATGTAAAATGAGGATGCTGATAGCATCTACTTCCCCAGTAATATTTGTGAAGTGCTTTTCAAACCTTAAAGTGCTATATAAATTATAACTATTATTATTATATTTCTTATATTTAAATGTTAGTGCCATTTTTTAACACCTCAGAGGTGCTGCCATGTTTGGTAGAATAATAAATTGCAAAAATTAAGTTTTCAAAATCCAATCTTTGTAGTAAATTTTCTGCTTGATCATAAACAGTTATCCATGTCCCAATTTTTTTCTTCTTGATTTCCCAGTTTTTTCTCCCTAGAAGCAAAAATTTACGTAGTGGCAATGTCCAGCAAGAATGTCTCCTGGAAATATTTTGTTCTCATGAGATGATATAAACATAATTGGTTATATTTATTTTTATTTTAAATTCCTTGGTTTTGTTCCAAAGCCGTTTAGGCCTTCTGTTAAACCTTGTTAAGTGAGTAAGATATAAAGAAAATTGTTTAAAAGTTCCTGTTTAGTGTTATAATCATACACATTATACAAGCAGCCCCCAAATTAGAAACAAATTGTGCCACAAATATTCATTTTTAAATGACTTGTTTGTATCTCAGAGCATCTTTTGAAATAGAAACATTGTTTTAAATCATGTTTAGTTTTAATAGGCCAGTCCACAAAAACCTAAATTTATTTAACCTGCTGTGTACTGATGCTGCCATATTACCTAAACTCAATTTATTACCTTGTTTCTGTTACCAAATGTTTGGAGTTTCAGCTTGGGGGAAAAGAAGTGAGCCTACTATATGCCAGGCACTGTGCTAAGTGCTTTACAAATATTATTTCATTTGATCCTCACAACAACCTTGCAAGGTTGGTGGGATCTTAGGTACACACAGGGACTCCAAGCTCTAGGCCACAATGATGGCTCCATTTGCCTGGGATAAGGGCCATGGATGATTCCTTGAGGAGGAAGGAAAGACTACTCAAAGGAATAAGAGCTAGAGATTAGTGAATGACTCTAAAAACTTTCTAAGTCATAGTTTCACTTGGGTTGAGGAGAAGGGAAAGTAGGTGGGTAAAGGAAGAAGCATTTATTAAATGCAGGCCTGCTACGTCAGGCACTGTGGTAAGTACTTTATTGATATTATCTCATTTGATCTTCACAACAATTCTGTGAGGTAGAGGCTATTATAATCCCTATTTTATAGCTGAGGAAACTGAGGCAGATAGGTTAAAATGCCCACGGTCACACTGTTAGTGTCTGAGGTTAAATTTGAACTCGGGTCTTTCTGACTTCAGGCCCAGCACTCCATCCTCCCCCTATCACTTAGGGCCTGGCAAGTTTCTAATGCTGATTGCTATTAGTGGAGAAAGAGGGAGAAACATCGGTCCCACTATAGTATGCAGCTGGTTTTTTCTCATTTCTTTGACTGAAGATTTTTCCTCCTTGCTGCTGGGTGAGGTGGGAACAAAAGAAAACTGGGGTTTATGGGAGGAAAACAAAGATTGCTGAAAGGTGACTCTCCAGTCCAGGCATCTGAGAAGGGTAGCAGAAGTTTGGTCTGTACCAGGAGATGAAAGGAAAGTGAATTCTGTTTAGCAGCAGAGAGTATGGAACTTATTTGTTTGGACAGCTACCCTGGTGCTGATTTGTAAAAGTGGGTGAGACTGCCTATTCTTCCCATACACAGAGGTCTACAAAATTTTTATTTAGGTACCCAGGCTTGAGAGTTGAAAAAGGAGTAAATAAGATAAAAACACTAGAGGATTGAGGGTTAAGATGGTAAATTTACTGCTCATTTCCCAAGAACTTCACATTTTTTCCCCATTTTGCTTCTGTGCTTTCAAGCTATAGAAAATATTTTGCCCTGAAGAAGGAAAAAAGAGTTTGTAGGTATATAGTCTACTGTCCAAGTAATTCACAGGATACTTCAGATTTACATTTCTTTGGGGGCCTTCATATTATATAAGCCTGCTTTGTTTAGCAACCTAATTTTAATTCTCCCCCCTTTTTTTCTACAAACAATTTATTATATTTAAGTTTCTTCAAAACATATGCCTTGTTTTACCTTTCCCCCTCTTCATTTTCACACCCCCCTACAATATAACAGGTCTTATCCATAGTAAATATGTTTTGAAGTGAACTGAATTGTAACTTATTATAATCAAAACTTACCTGTATAATTCTTATACTTGCTATACTTCCTGTGGGCCTCTAAAACTTTCTACCATTATGAAGTTTTAGAGGGAAGAAGATGAGAAAGTAACTTTTTTCTAATTTGAGTTTATTTGCCTTAACTAAGTTGTCACAGACAACTTTAGCATTTGTATTTTTTTTTTTTTCAGAATTTTTTACTTCTACACTGGATAGCAGTCAATGGATTATTTATACTTAATTTTCCATTAGAATTCAAGGGAAGTTTTTGCTACTATCTTGATTTTCTATGTTCATTTTTTTTCCTAAAATATAGGAATATTCTGAAGATAGTAACTCTGAACCAAATGTGGATTTGGAAAACCAGTACTACAATTCCAAAGCATTGAAGGAAGATGACCCAAAAGCAGCATTAAGCAGTTTCCAGAAGGTACTTACTTTTTAAAATTACTTTTATTAGCTTATTTGTGAATATATGCACATGTGTATATAATTTATATAGAACAAATGAGACTGTTATGTATGTACAAATATCTTTAAAACAAATATTCACAAATATTATGAGTATTATTCTATAGCTACAATAAAACTTAACATAAATTTGCATTCTGAATACTTAGCAAAAATTTAATAAGAACTATCTCATTCTTTGTTAATTATGAAATAGCTTTCCATTAAATCTATTTAGGGCAGGTGTCCCAAAATACTGAGACTCTGAGCAATATCCATGATTTCTTCTTCATAGAATTAGTCATAGAAATCTTTAATCTTCATAATCATAGAACTTAGAGCTAGAAGATTCCTCAGAGGCTCGATAGTCCAAATCCTCATTTTATAGTTGAGGAAATTGAGGCCAGAGGAGGTTTAATGAATTGCCCAAAATCACACAGGTAGTGTCATAAGTGAGATTTAGGAGAGCAGTCTCCTGACTCTTTCAGCTGTACTCCATTCTACTCTTTATCATTTTAATTTCTCATAGACTAGGTCATAAATATCTTAATTTAGCACTACAAGGGACCTTAGTGATCATGTAGGCCAAGTTCTTGATGGATTTCAGGGAATCCATGACCTTGGATGGGGATGGAGGGAGAAATGTAGCGGGGATTATCTTTATTTTCCATTAGCTGATAACGATTAACTTCTGTGAAATTTAGCATTTCCTTTGATTATGAATTTTTTAAAAATATTCTGAGGAGGGATTCACAGGCTTTACTAGATTACTAGAGGTCTTTATGACACAAAAAAGATTAGGAACTCTGATCTAAAACAACCATCTCACTTAATGGATGATAAAATTTAGACCTGCAGGAGCTGAATGACTCGACCAAGGTCACAAAGATAAGCTTGAGAACCAGGATTTGAACCTAGGTCCTTTGCCTTTAAATCCAGTCCTCTTTCCAGTACATTAAATTACATGGTATAGGCACAGTTTTAGGAATTCTGTTTGGGGAACTTATGCAAATTCTTGTTCAGAGTTAGACCCATAGTAGACTAATTTTTCTTTGCTTTTTCCTGAAAGAACTTTTAAGCAAATTCATTTTTGCTTTCATATTTCGAGCAAGTCTTTTAAATTGTTTTTTATTTGCTTAAAGCATCGCTAGAATAAAAACAATGGAATTACTATGTAAGTGGTTTTCATACCCCAAATGTTGCCATGATATAATATATTAATGGATTGAGGAAAATGCCTTTCTCTTTCAGGTTTTGGAGCTTGAAGGTGAAAAAGGAGAGTGGGGATTTAAAGCACTGAAACAGATGATTAAAATAAACTTCAAGTTGGTAAGAATTATTGGGAGACATAAAAATAATTTTATTGTACAGGTAGTTTAGTTGTATCTTGCCATTTCATATAAGTTAGCATTACAAGGGAATACTGTGTTACAAGACAATGATGCTTTAAGTTTACAAAGAGCTTTCCTAAAAACAGCCTTGTGAGATTGAGAATTCAATCATCATTCCCAATTTACAGATGAATAAACTGAGAGTGAGAGACTTAACTTATTTGCCCATGGTCATATGACTTTTAATATCAATGCCAGAATCAAGACCTGATCATCTGATGCCAAATCCATTGTTCTTTCTATGCAATACGTACTTTGAAGTTCTATATAAAAAGATGTTTCCATACTCACATTGCTTTCCTTCTTAGTAGTATGATTACAGTACATCCTGTTCAATGAAATATACATGACACATATGTTCACAAATTTCTGTCAGTTAAAGGATCATAATAGAGCTGGAAAGGTGAACTCAAGAGATCATCTAGTCCAGAGATCACCTTATTTTACTGGGGGAAGGGGAGGGAATATACACAAATATATATAAACAAAATATATATGTAATATATATGACATGTGCATTATATATAAATATTTGTACATAATATATAGATATACTGAGAAAGAGAAATGAATGAGTCCTATGAGTTATCCCACTAACCTCATGTCATAATCTAAATAATAAACATTTTTCATCCACTTGGTTTTTTCCTGTGGGTATAGTATTTTCAGTGGATTTATGTCCTGTTTAGGCACTTGATACAACTAGCATGATATCTGTAGGCAGAAACATCTAGAAGATCTCACCATCTATATATAGCACAGGGTTCTTAACTTGGGATCTGGTCTATGTGCTTCTTCTTTTTAAAAAATATTTTGATAATTTAATTTCGTATAATTTGTTTCCTTTGTAATCCATGCATTTTATTTTTTGCATTAAAAAACATTTTGAGAAGAGATCCATAGGCTTTACCAAAGGGGTACATTACACGAAAGAGATCAAGAACCTCTGTTCTATAGAGAATCCTCCTTCAACTCAGACTGTGCTTTAGATCTTTTACAAAAATGAAAATCGCCTTTAGCTGGCATTTATCTTCCTATTCTTATACCTCACCTGATTTTAATAATCATAGTGCTATAAAGGAACTCTTATATTTTTCAAGAGTTCTTCCATGATTTTGATGTGTGCATAGGAAATACCTTTTTGAAAGAGAAGTCAGGGGAGTTAATATTGTTAGTTAATCTCTCGTTTCTGATTAAAAGAATATTTGATGGCATTTATTTTCAGAAATTTTATATTGATTCAGTTTAACTGACTATAAAGAAATTTATCATTCAAAGATCTTTAGAATGGGTAATCCTTAAATGAACTTTGCATTTTTGGGAGGACAGAAGGCATAATAGCTGTTTATATACCTGCCCTTAGATGAGATGTGTAAGTTAGAACCCAGGAAAAATAGAGTCCTAGAAGTACAAAGGGAAAATGAGGCTAGATGACAAGAACTAACTTCATAAGTTGTCCTGTATTGTATAACTTGAGGGGTTCAGGGAAGATTTCCCCTTTGCTTAAAAGATCTACCTGCCCAAAACTCACCAAAAACCTGAAGATTAATTTCTTTAAATATTGAAGACATTTAATTCTTGAAGAGTCATGTGGGGACTAGACCTTTGAACCCCAGATAAAGAAACTCTCTTCACCAATGCAGGTTGGCACAATATCTGCAGTGTATAGTCCTAGAGAGTTGCTCAGAGCATTGAGAAGTTGTGACTTAGCCAAGGTCATATAACCAGCATGCATTAGAGGCAGGACTTGAAGCCAGGTTTTTCTGACTGAGGCCAGCTCTCTCTACATTGTGCCATGCTGCTTTTCAGAGCCACGAAATACAGTACAAATAGTTCTGGGTGGTATACTGCCTGAAGATTAATCAGCTGTTAACAAATAAGCACCAAGTAGGATTAAAACTAAAACTTTTTAGGGCATTGAAACAAATGTTTGAGGTTCAAGGACCCTTCAGTTTCTTCTACTTTGTGGTTTTCATGAGGGTGGTAAGTTTGTAGGTAAAAACTATTATCAATGTGTAATGAAGAACTTCTTTCCCTTGTGAATTATATAGTGTTGAAATCTCCCTGATAATTATAAGAAATTGGTGTTCTACAAAGTATTGTGAGAGGCATTAATTTGGAACCTTTGTTCCAAACTTTTAAGCTTGACCATTGCTTTGAATTTTGAAGGTTCTTTTTGTATTATGTGTGCCTGTTATCATAGTAGAAATATAAAAGTTTTAAAGAATAGAATCTAAGATTTAGAATGCTGTCAAATTTTCACCACCATTTTTATTTTAGAACCTAGTTTCACTGATTTGGATTTAGCGACCTAAGTATGTTATTTAATCTTTTATAATATTCCTAACACATTGTGCATTTCTCTAAAATGTTTATGACTTTTAATTATATAATTACTTGAACTGTGTGTTTTAATCAGTAAAATGCATTTAATAAGATTATTCAAAGTATTTTTAAACAAGATCTCATGTCTTTTTTCTTCACAGACAAACTATCCAGAAATGATGAATAGATATAAACAACTATTGACCTACATTCGGAGTGCAGTCACAAGGAATTATTCTGAAAAGTCTATTAACTCTATTCTTGATTATATCTCTACTTCCAAACAGGTTAGCTTCAGTTTTTTCCATCTTGGTACTCACTTACATGTCCGTTGTTTCCAGTGGACTTTGTACATTTTTAAAAAAATCTAAACCTAGAGACATCACTGAACAATTATATTCATTAATTAAATTCCACAAACATTTTTTAAGCATCATTTGTGTGCAAGGGCATTGTGTTAGGCTCTCTGGGAGGTACAAGGATCAAATAGGACACAACCCTCAGAATTTATAGTCTAGTAGAGGGATATCAGTCAATCTAGTAGAGGGATATCAAATGCAAAACATGTAATTATATACAAAATAAAAAGTGAATAAATACAAGGATATAATACACAGCAATAATTCGAAAGGTGAAAGCAGAGTGCTTCGTGAAGGCCAGTAGGAGAATGCCATCCTTTGGGCAGAAAGCATCTTGGAAGAGTGGCATTGTAGATGAGTTTTTAAGGGCTTTTCTGTTCTAGAGAACAGTAACTTTAACAAAGGTAGGGAAAAGAGAAGGCACAGGTAGTGTACAGAGGAAAGAAGAGTCAAATTTAGCTAGAGTGTGGTATATATGGAGAGCAATTTTTGTAGTTCTTCAGTAGTTTCGGTTGTGTTTGACTGTCCATGACCTAACTAATATCTGAGGGGAAATAATGCGAGTTCTTGTGTAGGAGGTTAACATCTGAGCCAGGCTTTAAAGGAACATAGGTTTCCAGTGATAGAGGTGAAAAGGGAAGTTCATTTCAGTCTTGGGGATCAATGCATATGTGGGAGGTAGAATGTTAGGTGTAGAGAACAGGTAGTTCTAAATAGAAAAGGAAATACATGGAGTGAGCAATATAAAATAAAACTCAAAAGTAGATTGAGACCAGATTGTGGAAGAAGAGATTTTATAATTTAGCTTACAGAAAATAGCCACCAGTGATTTTTGAGAAATTACTTTGTCAGATCTATGTTTTAGGAATATCAATTTGACAGTTTTGTGAAGGCTAGATTAGAGAAGAGAAAGGAAGTAGAGAATCCAGTAAGAATGTTGTTGCCATAGTCTAGACAGGAGGTGACAAACAACCCAGACTAGGAATTGAGTATGTGAATGCAAAGAAGTTTGTGTATACAAAAGATTTGACATAGAAAATAATTCTTTTTTTTTTTTCTTTTGGTAAGGCAATTGGGGTTAAGTGACCTGCCCAGAGTCACACAGCTAGGAAGTGTTAGGTGTCTGAGGCTGGATTTGAACTCAGGTCCTCCTGGCATCAGGGCCGGTGCTCTATCCACTGTACCACCTAGCTTCCCCAAAAATAATTCTATTAAGAAAGAAAAGAAAGGACTGTTTAAGTAGAACAGTGTAGTTACAAAGGAAATTCACCAGGCAAAAGACATGCAGAAGATGGAAGCAAGGTTAAATAACAAAATATAAACACAAATTAGGGAATGGCCTTGTAAGGGTCAAATCAGTAATTCTGAACCTCAGAATATGCTGAGTCTGATAATGACTAATAAGGGAAATGGGGCAGCTAGATGGTGCAGTGGATAGAGCACTGGCCCTGGATTCAGGAAGACTTGAGTTCAAATGTGGCCTCAGACACTTGACAGTCACTAGCTGTGTGACCCTGGGCAAGTCACTTAACCCCATTGCCTAGTAAAAATAAATAAATAAGGGAAACAAGGATTGAGAAAAAAAGTATTAGAGGAAAGGGGATCAAAGAAAGGGATAGAACCATTATTTTGGCTGAATGGCACAGTGGTAGTAGATGAAAGAAGTCAGGACTTCTCTTTTCTCTGCCCAAAATAATGCTCTTTTTGCTAGAAAAGATGAAATAAAAATGGATAATATAGAGACAAAATCCAAGATAAGTAGGTAGATAGTAAAAGAGCACCTAAGTTCCTTTGATGAATTCAAGTCATTTGACCCAGATGAGCCATCTCTCAGGGGCCAGAAAATTGACAAATACTAAGCCATTATCACTGGTTTTTGCAGGACTGGAGAAGATAAAATGTATTCACAGTTTTCAAAAGTGAAGAGTGTTGTTTGCAAAGATAAGCCCTATCAGCTTGATTTCAATTCCCAGCTATACTTTTAGAATGTTGAGATAGTTTAACATCTTAAAAAAGAAGTAGAAATCATCATGAACTGGCAGAATTTCATCAAGAACAGGTCGTGACAGACTAACTTCATTTCCTTTTTGACTGTTAGGTCAAAGGAATGTTGTCATGGTGTTCTTGTGGACAACATGGAGTGATTTTTTATGTCAGATGGATTTACTGCAGGAAGTCTGTGAAACAACACTGGAAGCTCTGAAAGACGCTGAGAATGATAGGCTGTGGTTTAATGAAACTGACCAGACTTGTGCTAGACAAGTAAAATTGTGTGGATGTAGAACTGGTAGAATGACTGCAATTAAAGAATAGTCATTCATGGGTTGGTATCAACTTGGAGAGAAATCTTAAATAGAATTTCCCAGAGACTTGCCCTTGGTCCTGTGCTGTTTAACATTTCCATTGATATGATAGATATAGATGGTTTGTTTGTAAAATTTCCAGGTGATACAGCCAGACGGGATAACTAACACATTGAATTTCAGAATAAGGCTCTAAAAAGATCTAGATAGGCAAGAACAATTGATAATAGAGGTTAATGTAAAACCATAGAGCTGGAAGGAACTATAGAAGTCATTTAGTTTAAACCACTCATTTTACAGTTAAGAAAACTGAGGTCTGGAAAGGTCAGTTGCTTCAGAAAATCAATTTTGCTATCAAATTTGCATTTGAGAGAGATCTGAGCACTTTGGTGTACTATACATTCATAATGAGTGAACAGTACTACCTAACTGCCAGAAAAGCTAATGTAATAACATCCAGAATGAGGGGAGTGATAGTCACGCTGTACTCTTTTCTATCAGACAACATCTGGAGTATTATGTTCAGTTTTGGATGCTCTTTTAAAATTGGAATGAGTTTAGAAAATGGTGATCAAGATGGTGAGTAGCCTTGAGACCCTGCTGCATATGAAGATGAATTGAGGGAATTGGGAATAAGAAAATGTTAAGCTTAGAAATGCAACAGTTTAAGTGAGACATGATATCACTGTTCAGTTATTTGGAGAGCAGTCGTGTTAAAGAGGGATTAGAATCATTTCTGCTTTGCCCTAGAGGTCAGAACTAGAACCAAGGGGTAGACTTGCAAATGGACATACAAAGATTTGATGTAAGGAGACATTGCTGACAAAATTTTTGAAAAGTAGAGTGGGTTGTCTTTGGAAAGAGGAGGTTCCTCCTTATTAGAGGTCTTTAAGGAGAGTTTGAATCACCTTGTTGGGAATGCTGAGGGGATTCTTGTTGAGGTTTGAGTAGGCCTCTCAAGTACCTTCCAAATGTGACATTCTGTCAGAGTTTGGATTTTGATGTTTAGTTCTTGTTACAATTTCAGGTTAGTAAGGCTTTTTTTTTTTTTGGCTAAGCAAAATAGCCTTAAATTTTATAGTTTACTCTCTTAATTATGTTGTGTTACAATAAATCTTTATATACTCCTTTTGGGATAGAGAAAGTAATTGACTTTGAAAGGTGAGAAAAATGTGTGTTTACTCACTATGTGCATTGTTACATTTTGGTTTGTGGTGCTGTTGTTGGTAGAAGGCATATACTACATAATACGTTTTAGTAGCATTTCAAACCTTTCTACCACCACTGACTTCTTAATCTTAATGACTCAAATCTGAGTAGATATCAAATGCAGGAACATATGCAATAGCCATAAAGCTTTCTTCTGACATGAAAACAACCAGTCTCTTTTGGGGGGAAGGGGAAGGGAATCAATCAAATTGTTAATTTAACAGACTATCCCTGCCCCATTGCCAGTGGTCCTACTCCTCCATTCAGTAGAGAGCTCTCTGTAGCTCTACTGCCATATTACTTCTTTCATTCCCTCTGTCATTGAAGTATTTTTATATATGATGGCTATCTCATTTTTCTTACCTTTTCCCTGGCAAGTAAAATATATGTAATTGGGATAGAGGGTGAATGTTACTAATGGAATAAAACCCATAGTACTTAACCTCTTAGTTCTGTAGTTTAGCTGCATTGAAGGTGAAATAAGCTTTTTAGGGATTGTCCGAGAGACTTAAGTATCTTTCATGATTGATAAATACTTTTCAAATTGTAGGCAGCCCACTTTAATGAAACTAGGTCATGAAATATAATGCAGTCATAAGTGAGAGGCTGCTTCCACATAAATTTCATTAGTTTTTACTCTATGTAAGCAGACATTCAATAAGATACGGAATACTGTATCTTTTGTGTATTAAAATTCAAACATGCACTTTTAGTTTGTTCAGATTAACTTTATTAACAGGTATAAATTTGCTGTTTACAATTATAGAATTCTGATTTTTTATGTCAGATGGATTTACTGCAGGAATTCTATGAAACAACACTGGAAGCTCTGAAAGACGCTAAGAATGATAGGCTGTGGTTTAAGACAAACACAAAGGTAATATTTAAAGTTAATTGTTTTGGCATTGTATATCCTAAAGATGCAAACCTCTCATTTCAAAATTTACAAATTAAATGGTTTTAAAGACTTTGCTTTCTTACAGCTTGGAAAATTATATCTAGAACGAGAAGAATATGGAAAGCTTCAAAAAATTTTGCGCCAGTTGCATCAGTCATGCCAGGTAGCATCCATCATTTTCTCTTTCCATATATACAAATATATATTTATAAAAATTTTAATAAGCACAAGAAATAACTTCATTTTCCAGAACAAAAATAATGACAGGTGAAAAATATTTTTTGTTGCTAAGTTTCTTAAAAGAAGTAGAAGTTTTAAAAATAAGAGCTCCCACCTTGGAAACAAAGGGAAGATCAAATCTATACCATAGTTTCTTATAGGTCACCAAAAAACAGTGTACTTAAAAGTTGAGTTATAAATTGTTAGTTTTAATTGTCTACATAATATTAATGCTTATTTAATCTCAGATAAATGTAACTCCAAATGAAACTACTTAGAGATGAGTATTTGGAATTTAGTTCTGAGAGATTGCATAAGGCAGAAGTCATACACATCTCCATTATATCCTAGTATTCCTATCTTAATCCACCTTAACCATGCATCTGAATTTAGGAACCTTCTAATTAAAAGGAGAATTTGTCTTATTATTTTGTAATAGGGCAGTAAATTAGTGCATAGTTAAAGTAGCCAAACCTCACACAGTGAAGAGATAAATTCTGAGGACTGATGATAAAGCATGCCAGACATAGACGTTGTGTGGATTTTATTTTGCTTAACTGTACCAATTGTCACAGAGAGTTCTATTTCAGACCAAGGGAAGGAGAGTCAGAGGCAAATAACAGTGGTATTAAAAAGCATCAATAAAATATATTTTTAAAAAGCAGAAATAATTTGTAAATTAAACGTATAAGTTGTACACTAGGTTGGGCACCTGTTGTGTTTTTTTTCCTTTAATTTGTTAAGGCAAGAATACAAGTTCCAATTGAGAGTAAAATCTGTTTCAGAACTTGAAAATTTTTCTCATCTGTCCCTCTTAGTGCTATGGCAAGTGTTTGTTAGGTTAGAGTTCTTATTAAAGATACCTTATTACACATTTCAGAAGCTCTTCTAGAGACTTCTAGTATTCTCCTATTTTAATAATATCAGCATTATCTTCTATAACAAGAAGAGGGAAAACTTATTAGGAGAAAAAAAAGAGTGGGTAGCTCTTCTCTCTTAAAAGTAAAGGCAGTTAGACCACATGGTAAGCCCACCATCTACCTTTTTTCACAATTTTTCATAATGTCACAAAAATTATTTAATTTACTTCTTGGCTATTCAGTGTTTTTCATGGTAAATTTTAGTCTGGCCTTCATCAGAAAGGATATATGTTCCAACATCAAAGTGAAATGGAAATAGTAGAGAAGCCATCATAGACTTAGAGAGTTCTTCAGAGTAGAGGGAAGCGTATAGATCTGCTTACAGTTAGTGTCTTGTTGAATACTTATAGGGGACGAAAGCTGCAAAATAAAGTCTTGTAAAAAAGCACGTCTGGTGAAATTTTATTTCAAGACATAAAAACAAGAGCAAGTCTTTTGTGCATTGTAAATACCATTCTAGTGTTTGGTATTGTTTTGTGATGTATTTCATGTCCATTATTTTGGGAAAATATAGCCTCAAGATACAAATGCACAACCTAAACATTCTTTCCCTACATTTAGTTCTTGATGTTGGCCAAGGAAATCCTTTGCAGCTATAGTAGAGGAGTCCCTTCTTGGCAGGTGACTAGAAGCTGACAATTGCACGGGTTCCCTTCTTTACACATGACCAGTGGCAGTAAAAAGTATAAAATAGTATGTTTTCTGAATCATCACATTCTAAATTGGAATTTGCAGTGCATTTTTTTCTAATGCAGTGTTATAAATGGAGGGTTATGTTCCATGCCTAGTTTACAAATTCTTATTTAATCCATAGATAGTAATGTACTGTATTTTGGCTGAATTATGGGCTAAAAGAGGCTTTTGTGATCTAGCCTGGGGAGCTAAATTCACCTAAACAGGTTCTGAAAGGAAATAAGTTTTGAGCTTCAAATGACAGACTTAAAGATAAACATTTGATACATAATTCTCAAGTTGGAAACTATACATGTATGGTTTTTTGGCTTTTTTTTTTTTTAATTAAGTTTGACACTAAAAATGTTCTCTTTCCTAGACGGATGATGGAGAAGATGACCTTAAAAAGGGTACACAATTATTGGAAATTTATGCGTTAGAAATTCAAATGTATACAGCACAGAAAAATAACAAAAAACTTAAAGCATTGTATGAACAGTCACTGCACATCAAATCAGCCATCCCCCATCCACTGATCATGGGTGTCATTAGAGGTAAGTAGGAAAGGGTCTTTTGAAGGAAACAGAAAGAAAAACTATCAAAACATTTAACGTAACAAATAGGCAGCTAGCAGACTAGCTGACCAGAGTGCCAGACCTGGAGTTAGAAGAGACCTTAGTTCAAATCCAGCCTCAGACACTTCCTAGGTGTCTGAACCTGGCCAAGTAATTTAACCTCTTTTGCCTTGGTTTCCTTATTTGGAAAATGAGGGAAATAATAGCACTCCCAAGGTTCTTGTGGTTATCAAATGAGATAATTGTAAAACACTGGTAACAATGCCTTATACGCAGTAAGTGCTGTAAAAATATTATTATATATAACTGATAAATTATTTTACTTTCGGTAAATATATTGTCAGTATATTGTATATAAAGAAAAGAAAATGACAACCACTCCATTATCTTTGCAAAGAAAACCCCAGGTTGGGTCACAGAGATTCTGACACAACTGAAACAACCAAACAACATCATACTGTATGTGCATAATAATTCATGGTCAGTAAAATGTTTGGTTTCAAAATGAATTTTAAATTACTTTTTTTATCCTGTAAAGTTCATGCCATTACCACAAACTGAATATGTGAGAAATTGATAATTCAAAGAAAACTCCTTTCTATTTAAGCTACAGGTGAGTAGGCAAAGATGGCAAGTTGATGGTTTCCTCTTGTCAATTGGCTAAGGAAGAGATCTGTTTTACTTTTTAATAAAAATGAACACACTGAGAACATTATTCAGCATATTGAATTAAATGACCTACAGCATGCCACTACCATGTATTCCCTGTGAATGTGAGACAGTATTCACTCTTGTGAGTATATATTCAGCACATTCTCTTTTTCTATCCTTCACAGAATGTGGTGGTAAAATGCACTTAAGAGAAGGTGAATTTGAGAAGGCTCACACTGATTTTTTTGAAGCATTCAAGAATTATGATGAATCAGGGAGTCCCAGACGAACCACTTGCTTAAAATATTTGGTCTTAGCAAACATGCTAATGAAATCGGGAATAAATCCATTTGACTCTCAGGAGGTATGTTTATACTATAGTATCTGTTGTCTTTTGCCATGTTCTTATAAAATAAATTACTATCACTTTCTTTATAACTGTATGTATTTTTATTATATTTAGGCAAAGCCGTATAAAAATGATCCAGAGATTCTAGCGATGACGAATTTAGTAAGGTAAGATTTTGCATCTGAATTGAGGAAATTTACTTAAAACAGCAAGTTAAGAATTTAAGTAGAGCACTTTTAAAAATAGAATCTTGATTCTAAAATTCTTCTCTTTTGTGATAATCACGGTTTTACAGTTTGTTTAATCTTAAATATGCCAAAACAGTAGTATTAAAATACTTGAGGCTTTTTTTCTTTTAGAAATCAGTAATCATGATAGGTCTTAGTTATAATATTCTCTGAGATAAATATCTGCTTTATTAGCCTTAATGTGTATATTGCTTGTTGAGTGATGAATTAAGTGTAGTATGTCCCCCCAATACAATTTGTGCTGAAGAAAGGAATTTCTTTTCCACTTTATTCCATCTTTCTCTTGTCTTTGCCCATCCACAAAATTAAAGCACAGTGGAATGTAATTTATCCTTAACCAAGGTTGATAAAAGTTTTAAATTAAAAGACCATCTAGCTGTCCATATGGAGAGGAAAGCCAGCATACCTCTTACTCGGGTATTTCTTTCCTTTTTTCTCCTTAAATTCAATTTTCCTCTTGTTTCCCCTAGATTGAGTTCATCAAACTGAGCTTAATTAGAAAATGAGCAGGGTTGCACTTAGGGGCATTTGTTTGTGACACTGGTATATTTGTAACCCTATGACAAGATGAACAGTTATGAATAGTTAGCCTGGAACTGTAGGAACTACTTAATCTTTTTTCCAAAAGTATTTATTAAAGGTCTGCCTTGAAAACTTGGCATTCTTATTATCTCTTTGTGCAATCATTTCTCTTTCTGTGTCATAAACATATGTTTATGTGCACTGACATGCTCACTATTGTAATTCCGTGCTTTTTAGCTTTTTCTTTTTTTTCCAAATAGCCTTATCCAGCATGATGACTAGTAGGAAAGAGAAATCTTATAAGATTTGTAGATTAATTTTTCCCTTGATTGTTATTTAAATTTAGTTGTCTTTATTTGTAATTCAATGAGGTTAAGAAGCTCAGAAATTACTTGAAGGTTGCTACCTTGACTAAAGCAATTCAAAACAAAATAATTGGGGAAAAGACAAGACCAAATGAGAAAGAGAAAGGAAAGCTTCACCTAGATGAAAATGACAAAGATTCATTAGGCAGAAGATGGCCCAAAGGCTGAATTCCTTCCCTTCATTTTCTAATCTCCCCTACCCCTACCCAGAGTCTCCTGAGCTTCAGTGCAGATGCCATGAAGATAGGGATGGTGCCTCTGGTGAGAGGAATGAATGTTGCCTATGGAGGCCAGTCCAAAGAGCACCAAAGTTTTTAAGTAACTACCTTAGAGATAAAGGGGGAACACTTTGGTTTCCCAAGGTCTGATATCCTAGATTGTGCATAACAGGCTTTAAGGCTTTCCTGTGATAAATCAATCAGTTAATGGAAGAACTTGAGACAATATGAAAAATTAAGAGGTAATATATTTGATTTAGTGCATCTCTGATCTCATAGATGTGGGGACTCCTTCCACCAGTGCAGATCACAACCTCTTTTGTTTTGTTTTTGTTTTGTTTTTTGTTTTGTTTTTTGTTTTTTTTTTTTTTCAAGATCCCTCCACAGAGACCCTCATAGAGAATATACTCAACTTTCTGAGAGACTTTTCTAGGTTTTTTAATCTCTCCTGATTACCAGTGCGTTAGTCAGGCTAGCCATCCAGTTATTCCTTACTCTTTACTAAATAATTAGTGTATCTCTTTAGGGATTTGAAAACAGATTTTGAAAAAAATCCATCTTTATTTCAGAGAGCAGCTTAGGATCATTAAAAGCACTGAGAATTTTCCCCATATAGAATCTGTCCATCTCACCCTCTTTCTCCTGTTCATTCTGTTCCAGGGTCATTGTCTTTCTGCAGCGTCTATTCAAGAGATATAGATATACATACATACATACTTGCATGCATGCTTACGTACATGCACACATATGTGCATGTTATTGCTGTTGTTAAGTCATATCCGTCATGCCCAACTCTTCATATTTCCATTTAGGCTTTTCTTGACAAAGAGCCTGGAGTGTTTTACCACATCGTTCTCCAGCTCGTTTTGTTTTGTTTTTGCTTTTTGGTCAGGCAGTCACGGTTAAGTGGCTTGCCCAGGGTCACACAGGTGGTGAGCGTCAAGTGTCTTAAGTTGGATTTGAACTCAGGTTCTCCTGACTCTAAGACCAGAGCTCTATCCACCGCTTCACCTAGCCTCCCCTCCAGCTCATTTTACAGATGAGGAGACTGAGGCAAACAAGGTTAAATGGCTTGCCCAGGGTCACATGGACTAGTGAGTGTCTAAGGCCAGATTTGGACTTCAAGAGATGAGTCTTCCAGACTCCAGGTCTAGCACTGCACCACCAGCTACCTACCTACAAATGAACATGCTGCCAGTGAACTGGTTCAGCAAGGTTGCTGTAATCTCAGCAACAGATACTCGGAGTCCTCCACTTGTTTTTTTTCCCTGTTTGAATGGTTGTGAATTTAATCTAGCATTCTTTTTAGAATTCTGGGACTTGATGTAGTAAGAATACCATCTGCAAAAAAGGAAAATTTGAAGAATTTTGCCATTTGTAAGGAATTTCTTCTCCATTTGGACACTATGCTTAATATTGCTAGATGCCTTCTAGTATAGAAGCAAACATCTTACTATTTTATGCTTCTCTTGATATTGATGATCACCATATTATTTTCTTAAAAAATTGTCTCAGCTGTTTTAGCTATCAAAAAATCTTATATGATATTAATTTGTGCATGGGAGGCATCTTGAGAAAGGAGTCCTTAAGGCCACATTTTGCAGTACTAAAACAAATGCATTTTTATAATCAGTAAGCATAATGGGATCTTATATTTGCTGTACTTTTCAGTAAATTGTATGATTATGCAGACGTGGTCTGCTTGTTCCCATCTCATATTTTCATCAAGGAGACTCTCATAAGTGAAAATCCTCATACGAATTTTATAGAGATGAAAAAGCAGGTAAATGGGTCAGTAGTTATTCACATCCTCTTGATTGCTAGTTTTCGATAGAAAGATAATCTGTGATATTTTTCTAATCATTTGTTACTGTACTGAATCAGCCCTTGACCCCTTTTAAATTATCATCTCCAGCACTGATTTCCTCTCAGTATACTTGGTCTGATCTAGCTATTTTCCTTGTTTTGTTTTCTTTAGTGCCATTTCCAGTTTTTCACAAAGCATTCAGCAAATAGTGTGAAAATGATGGGTTTTTGTGTCTGGGGTTATTGAAATTTCCCACATAAAGTCCAGCTTCTCTCCCTTCTAAAGTTGCACCCATTGTCCATATGTAATATGTATCCATAGTATATATAAGTAATGGCTCTTTTCTTGAAGTACCCTCAATATTTAGACTTCTGAGTAGTCTCCAAGCCTTTGTTTTCTCTTATTTCTTAATATTCAACCATATTTTCAAGCAATTTTTTCACCTGCATATTAAAATCATTCAACAAACACTTTTTTTTAAGTACTTTCTCTATGCTAGATGCTGGGGATTTAGACACACAAAAAAATGAAATAGTCCTTACCCTCAAGGTGCTTACATTCTGTGGGGAAAACAGGAAACACTTGTATAAGCAAATAGAGAGAATAAATACACATTATACAAAGAGGTTAAAGACAAGGCAATTTAGACAGAGGGACACCAGCAGTTGGGAGGATCAGAAAAAGCTTCAGTAGGGGATGGTTCTTGAGTGGCATTTTTAAGGAGTAGAGGCATTCAGTGAGGTAGAGGAGTTCAGAATGTATTTCAGGTGTGGAAGGCGACCAGTGCAAAGGAATTGAAACAGGAATTGTTGGGAGTTTTTGTTAAGAAGAGAGAGATGGCTTCTTTGGCTGAATCACAGAGGACAGGATTGGAATAATATACAAGTTGGGGCCACATTATGAAGGATTTTAAAGGCTAAACATAAGGAGTTTATGTATTATCCTAGAGGCAGTAAGGAGTCACTTGGGTTGATTGAGTTTTTAGGGAGTGACAATGGATAGATCTACACTTAAGAAAAATCATTTTGGGTGGCCTGAAGTAGAGAAATATTTGAAGCGGGGAGACAATTAAGGGGCCATTATGCTAATCCAAGGCAGGTGATGAGGGCCTAAACTCAAGTGGGTTGACTGTGTAAGTAGAGAGAAGGGTTTGGCTACAAAAGATGTAATGGAGGTAGAAATAGCAATATTCAGCAGCTGATTGAATATATGGAAAGTCACCCAACTGTTTATGGACCTGGTAGACTGGAAGAATGGTGATGCCAGTCAGCATAGTAAGGAAATCCCTAGGATACTTAATTTGAAATCCTCTGGTACTTGGTGATATGAGACTGAAACTGGGGGAAGTTACTGGGCCTGATTATATAGATCTGTGAATCATCAACATAAGAGATGATAATTAAATCCATGGGAGCTGATCAGGTCATGCAGAGAGTCAGTCAGCAAGCATTATTTAAGCATTTACTATGTATCTGCACTGTGCTACAGAAAGGGAGGAAATAGTCCCAGCCCTCACAGAGTGGATATTCTGATGAGGGAGACAGTATATATATACCTATATAACTAAAAGGTATATACAGAGTGGATGGAAGGACATATGAAAATAGAAGGCATTAGCAGCTAGAGGGACCAAGAAGGACCTGCAGAAGGTATCTTTTAAGATAAGTCTTGAATGAAGTCAAGGAAACCAAAGTATTCTGTGAATGGGGAATATCCAACACAAAGGCACAGAGATGGTAAAAGGCCAGTGAGGCTGGATGATATAGAACGTGTGAAGAAAAGTGAAGTGTAAAAAAAACTAGAAAGTTAGAAATGGGTCAGTTTATTAAGATCTTTAAATTTCAAATAGGAATTTATATTTGATACTAGAAATAATAGGAAGCCACTGGAGTTCATTGATCAGGGGACATATGTTGTCAGACCTATATTTTGGCAACCAACTAGAGGATGGATTGGAGTGGGGAGAGATTTGAGGCAGCCATAGTACTAGGCAGAGGTAATAAGGGCCTGGGCTTGGATTCTGGTTGTATGAGTGAAAAATAGGGAGCGTATACAGAGGTGATGTGAAGGTAGAAACAACAAGATTTGGCTATTTATTGGATATATGGAATAAGAGGGTGTAGGACACAGTGTAGGGAGCAGGGCCTGAGGGTTGGAGTAATCCAGGGCTGAATTTCGGCAAGGGATGAGTGATGATTGAAAACGACACAAGAGATTTAAGAGTAGAGGACAGGGTAGAATCAAATTGGCTAACGAAAGGGTTGCTACTGGAGAGGGAGGAAAGTAAAGTCAATAAGGGTAATGACCTGAGAAAGCTGGGAGGGAGCTGGAATTAGAGGTCTCAGTGAAGTTGAAGAACAGGTTTGGAAGGGATGAGGTATAGGGAGAGATGGAATGAGAAGAGCAATGTCAGTTTTAGAGAAACTTTTTAAAGAAGTGTAATGCATGGATAATGGTGAGACCCAGGATGAGAGCATCCCTATGTATTGCTGAGATACAATGAAGTCATGTGATTTAAGAAGATTGAGAAATTGGGGGGTTAAGAAGTTTTAAGGGAGCATTATTATGAATGTTGAAGTCAACTTAGCATGAAAACAGGAGTTGGGAAGGAGAGGAAGATTGGGAACTAGGTGCCAAACTCTGAAAAGAAAGAAAAAAAAAGGAAGAATGGGGATAGGGAGAGGAGAGTAGTGATACAACAGCTACCATGATGTGGAGTGGGTAGAAATTTTTAATTGAATGAATTTTCAATGAGGAGATGATAGTGAAGTGTCTGGAAGTAGCAGTGGAGCAAGGACTATTCTGACTGTCCCTCCAGGGCCATTGGTTAGTGGGTAAAAGGGAGGTGAGGCAATGGGAGTTGAAGGCACTACAATAAAAGCACTTGAGAGGATGGGATGTTGATAGGGAGGGTCCAGGTCCAAGTCTCAGTGAATGCTTGGAAGGAACAAGAGAAAGAGGTCCAGAATGAAAAGAAGTTTGTTCAGTCTGGAATGGGAATTCTAGAATAAAAACAACAAATACAAGGTAGTTAGATACATAGTGGTTCTTTCGTATGGAAATGAACTATAGTAAGAACCATCTAATTTAAGAGGGGGAAGAGATCTTAAAGTTCAACTAGCCCAGTCCTTAAATTCCCCAAAGTCTAGACTCTAGAATATATGTAGACTGTATTCAAAGCTTACATTTCATCATTCACAAAAGGAGAATATCAGAATTTTATTTTATTTAGGGACCTCAGTGATCATCTATTACAACTGCCTCCATCCTATATTTGGGAGAACTGAATCTCAGAAAGGTTAAGTTACTTGCCCAAAATGACAGCATTGAAGCTGAGATTTTAACCCATTTTTCCAGTTCCAGTGTTCAGTGCTCTTTCTCTGGTACCACACTGCTTTATTGAGACTCAAAAGTGTTAAGTGACTTTGTCCATGGTCACTTACTTATTAAGTGTCAGAGAGAGATTCTGAATCCATGACTCTCCTGACCACCAAGTTTTAACTCTTTCCACTACATAATGCTGTCTGCATTCACCATTGAATTTGTGGTGTCTAGTGACATATTCATGAAATGGCACATAAATACTTATAGTTTCCCCAGTAGATAATTAATCAGAAGATATAAACAAATAGTTCCAATACTGTAAAGTATTCACAAACACATGAAAAAGTGCTCCAAATTGCAAATAAGAAAAATGTATAGCAAAAGAAACCTGAGGTTTCACCGCATAACCTACAAATTGGCAAAAATTACAACAGTCAGTATTGGAAGGGTTGTGGTAAGAGAGGCATATTAATACATTGTTGGTGAAGTTGTGAAATGGCACAACTATTTTGGACAGCAGTTTGGAATTAAGCAAATAAAATGACTAAAATGTCCATACCCTTTGAACCAGAAACTCCATTATTGAGCTTTTACTCCCTAGAAAGCCATCGATAAGAAAAAAGTTCTCATGTACACCAAAATATTTATGTCAGTGTTTTTTGTGATGGGTAAGAATTGGAAACGAAGTAGATGTCCATCACTTGGAGAATGGCTAAATAAATTGTGGTACATACATGTAATAGAGTACTACTATGCTGTAAGAAATGATGTGTGTGATGAATACAGAGAAGCATGGAAAGCTCTATATGAACTAATGAAGAGTGAGTTAAAACAGTCAAGAAAACAATATACACAATAACAACAACGTTTGGGTTTGTTTGTTTTTGAAACCATTTATAGATTAAGTACAAATGAATATCATGTAAACCGAGCAAGTAAAGGCTAGGAGGGTTATAAACTGTCAATGAGAGTCCAGTGCGCTTGGGCAGGCATCTGACTCCTAGTCCAATGTTCTTTTGACCCTACCGCACTACCATATGAGAGGGCTTATCCTGTCTATGTTCAGTCTAAACTTCTTGAGAAAACTTCAGTAAGGACCTTTCCTATTTTAATTTAAAACCTACTTTGGCTAAATAGATGGGGTTAATGATAGATTTTGATCACATCTTTAAATGTTTTAAGTAAAAGCTATAAAGTTTTCCATCTGTTTGGTTGTAATGAACCTACAGAGCTACCAAATTTTTTAATGATAACTTGTAACGTTCATTATGGAAGCCTTTATGATGTTACGTAAGATTTAAAAAAATAGTAAGAAAACATTTCCTCATTAAAATGTATATTTGTCTTTTCTACTCCTTAATTATTCTGTCCCATAATAATAGTTTCAAATGATGCATTTTGGATAGGTAAGAAAGTAATGCTTCCTAATTTTATCTTCCTAGTCAGTTGGCAGCAGACTACAGGGAAAAAATTCCCGTTGAAGCACTTGAATCTGCTTTCCCTAAAATGAAGTTACATTGCGATCCAACAGATGGAAGTACAGCAGAGGTCGTGCAGAATGGCTGATGAATATGACATATGTATAAAGCAGACAGTGGTGCCATATCCAGAAGGTTGGCTTCTTCCTTCTCAGCACCGTTAGCAAGATTCACACAGTGCCTCACAGAACTGGTATCAACAGTAGACACCATACACTTCAGTAAATTGTGACTGTAAAAGGCCTTTGGCTCTCTGCAGTAAGGGACTCCATCACTGCTCTCTGCTTTGTACGTGTGTCCCATTTGGCAGCAATTATTTATGATTGCTACTATAATGTTCCATCTTTCAGATCTCAGTGGAACTTCATGATTAGGAACAAGAGAATCAGACGTTTTACTTGAAAGGTCTGGGTAGCTATTAATGATTTCCTAAAAGGTTAAAAACAAGACAAAACTTTCTGATTAACTTTTACAGAGGGTGCATCCTTTTTAAAGGAGATTTAACTCCTATGTAATAATAAATATATACATATCCTGAATTGCTTCAGTGATGACTATTAATAGATAAAAGTACAATCATAATTAGAAACATTTCAAATTTAAGAATTGTGCTTAAATACTAAGTACAGTCAACTCTTGATTGTGGCTAAATAAATTGAAGTCTTCAAAGGCCATTTTAATAGTTTGCAGCTAACAAAAAGGAAAGAACATTTATTGTTCTTTCTATAAGTAGAATCAAAGCATTAAGGAAGAAAAACTTATTTTACTTAAAGAAGGTCTGGGAAGAAGAAAGGTGGGCAGAGAATGTGTTTAGTAGCCCATAGAATGTTCAGTCCTTATACATCTCATAGTTCTACATCCTCATTTTATAGATAATGAAACTGAGGCCCAGAGATATTAAATCATTTGCCTACTGTCATACAGCTATATATCAGAAAAGTAGGAGTTCAAACTCAGCTCTCCAGTCTTCAGTTTCAGTATTGTTGTTTTTTCCATTATACTAATAGTTTTTTACCCTTATATGTGTTAGAGAGTTCAGTAACATAGGTATTAGCACACCAGAATTGACAGGCAAAATCTTTGGATTTTCTGTTTTTGTGTATAGTTTATTTACATTTGACAAGGTCAGAATTCAGCCTTTCCCCCTCCCTCCCCCCTTTTCTTTTAGTGCCTATCAGAATAATGACATCACTGAATTTGAGAAGATTCTGAAAACAAATCACAGCAACATCATGGACGATCCCTTCATAAGGGAGCACATTGAAGGTATGTTCCCTCTGAAAACTGATGAATTGGACCTACATTTCTTTGGTAGTCTAGAGTCATTATTTTGAAATCTCTGGGATATAGGGTATGATGTGGTGTATTTCTGGAGAAGATATATAATATTTACTTATTTTTCTTGTATTTATTACCACATGAAACAGAACGTGATATTCCTTAACATTTAGGAATTAGCTGCTTTATCAGCCTAAGGATAATTGCTGTCATCTATTCATTGCTATCTTATTTCCTTTAAGATCTCTTTAGTATTACCCCTTTTTCAATTTTGATGCTTATAGTTCTTATTGATCATTGCATTAAAGTTAATTTTTAGAATACACTCTTAAAAATGGAACTAAAACAGTACAAATTGACCTAAGGTATGCTTAGATAAATATGCTGTGACTCATAAGCCAAATATACTATGGAGTGAATTAAATTTCTGACATTTCTGTTATTGCAGTAGTGTCCCACATAGTTGTGGGACTTGCTGGTACATGGACATAGGGCTTTTCGCTTTTATGGACATAGCTTTAGGTTTTTGCCCCTCAACAGGAGCAATTTCCTATGTAGCAGGTTTCTCATAAGGGTGCCTATGTATAACTCAGCTCCTCTAAGGAAGCCCAGAGCTGGTTCCATAATGGATAGTTTTCTGCTTTTCCTCTTCTTTCTTTCTAACTCCATTCATTTAAAGAGCATTTAGCAAGTACTTACTGTGTACTCAGAACTGTATTAAGGACTGTGGATGATACAGAAACAATAGAAGATAATCTCTTTCCTCAAGGAATTTACAGCCTATTTTGATTTTTTAAAAATTATATGTACAAATGGATAGAAAGAGAGGAAATATATGAAAATTTGAGGTATGTGGGGAAAAAATTGGGAGGTGAATACAAACAGCATATCTAAGCAGAGACTCCTTAAGGATTATGATTTTTCACATCTGAGAAATGTGTATCTATTGGACCAAAATATTTTTACAAAAACTTTAACATATGCTTTTAGTTTTCAGACTAAAGAAATGGTTTTTTTGAGAAGATTGGTGAAAAAGTAGTTTATTGTCATGAAACAAAAGTGTACATTGTCTTTATATATTTACAATCTGTCCTTTTCCTATTGTAGTTAATGTTGACTTTGATTTTTTTTTTAACTTTTGTCTTTTCTTCCAGAGCTTTTGCGAAACATCAGAACACAAGTGCTTATAAAATTAATTAAGCCTTACACAAGAATACATATTCCTTTTATTTCTAAGGTACTTGTCTCTAACAGGATCTATCACTTATTAATAGTTTATAATTTTGAATGTAGCATACATACCTTCAGTTTGAAAGACTAACCTATATTCATTAATCATCACAGCTATAACATCTTATTGGGAATTTACTATGAAATGGTACTGAAATGTTTCCTTGGCATAAACTTATTAATGTAGAAAATTTTTAAATTAATATGCTAGAAAATTGGGTTTCTTGACAAATGTATTATTGGTGAAATATTAACTTCAAACACAGTAAACTATTGGGAATGAAAAAGTAAAATATTTACAGTTTTACAAAGCTAAATTTTTGGGGCAGCTTAGAGGTGCAGTGAATAGAGCACCAGCACTGGAGTTAGGAGGACCTGAGTTCAAATCCGGACTCAGACACTTGACACTAGCTATGTGACCCTGGGCAAGTCACTTAACCCTATTGCCTAGCCAAAGGGGAAAAGAACAAAAAAAAAGAATGGCCTTTAATGCATAGATCTAGAATTCAGTAAATTAAAAGAGAAACCACAAAGCTAATTTTTTTTTTTTTGGTCAGGCTTATGTTAAAAAGTATTTTAGAGGTCACAGTGAAAACTTCCGCAGACATTTCTGTGTGCAATTATTTCTGTTAAGTTCTGGTAAATGAAAACTATATCATAATTTGCATGATATCTAAAAGCAGTGAAATTAATCAGTGGAAACATAATGAGTCTTCTGTCTTAGGAATTAAACATAGATGTAGCTGATGTGGAGAGCTTGCTGGTACAATGCATATTGGATAAGTAAGTACTTTTTCATTTTTATACTTTTTAATTGTTAAAATACATAATTTTCAATGATAAAGATAGTTGTGAATTTTTTTTTTGTTTGTTTTCTTAAAAGAACTGCTATAAGGATATGCTTTTCCTCTGATAAAAACTGTGGGCTTTTTGTGTATATATACATATATATTTTGAGTTATTAAAGCCAGGTTAGATTAGAGAAATGGCTTATAACAGGTAAATTTTTTTGACATTTGAACTCTGGAAAAAATTGTAAATTGTTTCTTTGGGAAGTTTTTGGTTTTTTTTGTTTGTTTGTTTTGTTTTTATCAATATATAGCTCATACTTCAGCTTGAGAGTGATTTGAGTCTTCTTCAAACTGTCAAGCGTAAGACACATGTGCATCACCATAGGGAGATTCGATTATAGCGTGCCTCAACCACCAAATTTCTGCATTATTTCTGTTACATGGCATTTAATCTTTATTAATTAGTTACATCTAAGCATGTTGATGATCATGCCTCTGATACGACTTTTTTTCTTACGTTTGGAGCAACTTGAGAAAATGTGCCTACATTCTGGTTTCTAGTTAAATTTTTTTGTAAGACAGCATAGGAACCCCAACACTTTTGAATATTGTAAGTTTATACAGACAGCAGTTTTTTCTTTTGTGTTCTTTGGTAATTGATTCTTTTTTCTGAAACAACATTCCAGACATATGCATAGTGGGTGTTTTGTAGACAAATTGTCTTTTATTTATTTCTAGCACTATTCATGGCCGAATTGATCAAGTCAACCAGCTCCTTGAACTGGATCATCAGAAGAGGGGTGGTGCCCGATATACTGCACTAGATAAATGGACCAACCAGCTAAATTCTCTCAACCAAGCTGTAGTCAGTAAACTGGCTTAACAGAGAACAAGCTTTTACAAGACATACTTAAGGCAACAGTGCAGTGATGTAAACCTTAAAAGAACTGGGAATGGCAAAACTACTGTCGGTTGATGTGCCCTGAAAATTATTGGAGTTATGGCAGAAGTGCTTTTTTGATCAGCTGGTTTGTGTTTTGCTGCTGCATTTATCCCAAGAAAAACAGCTTTAATCTCCAGAAGAAAACCAAAATGCCACGGGATTTATGCTGTATTGACATCTTGCCCTAAACATACAACATCATAGTAATTTGTCACGGGCAACTAATGACCAGAGAGAAGATTTTTGTCATGATTTTAAATACACTGACACGTTACTGTTGGTTAAATTTAAACATGTTTTACCTGCAGAAATTCTCTCACAGAAATAACCTGCAATAACTTGAAATGCATACCCTTTTGAACACTTCCTTTTCTCATGTATAAATTAAAAAATGTTTGCTGCATTTTGCAAAATGTCAATTCTCCAAAAATGTGTCCGTATATTTCTGTACCTGCAGTGTAGTAAAGGTTTAGACGAAACCCCATAATGATAGTGGCATACTGTCACTTAGGTTTCAAGCAGCAAAATAAACAGTGCAGCTCAGAAATTGTACAGTTTGGTTCTTGATGTGTTTTTTATTATATTTGAGTTTTGTTTTGTTTGTTTTTGTATCTTAGAGATTTCAAATTATTTTATCTCCAACTAATGATAAGCTGTTTGGGGATAAATGAATTGACTTCCTACTTTTGAGGTTTGGCTTTTTTGTTTGTTTTTTTTTTTGTTTTTGTTTTTTACTTTTGAAGTAGTCTATTAACAATATAAAGAGAAACAAAAACTAGATATTTAATAGTCACAAGTTGGATAGCACCAACTTGGTAGAATAAGATTTGGAAAAGAAAATTACCAAAAATAATGGGCAGGATGTTTCTTATTGTCTCTTGAATTTCAAATATTGCTAAAAGGCTTTAAATTCTATAGTAAATCCTATATATTGCCATGGGATAGAATACAAGCTATAACTATACAAAGTAATTTTTTTTTTTTAAATCACAACCATATCAGAACTTTATAATTGTCACCTTGGGAAGTAAGATACTTACTCTAATAATGCTGCAGCTGTGCAGAATGTTTTTGGTACCCCTCTCTTAAAAACTGATTTTGAAACCAAATTAAACCACAGACTAAAATCAGTCTAAATACTTTTGAATCCCACTTCATTTTTACCCCCAGACTATATGCTGATCACCTGCTGAATTCACCAGACATTGTTCCTGATGCCTTTAGAGTATTGCCAGAAATTAAATCCATCCTCACAGGGCAAAGATTTTCTATTTTTGAGGTCTTCAAAGAATGTGTCACAGACCACGGGAGCAGTTTCCAAAGGGGATTTACAAACATGTACGGCAATGGCAGCATTGCTGGAATGAGTATATTGCCTCACAAGGTGACCACTTTAAAAGGGAAGAATGCTCATTCGGATAGCCAAGGTCTGGCATGTTTGTTAAAAAACTTTATTACTCTACATGTAGAACAGTCAGAACCAAGAGAAAATGTTAATATGATTAATTTATTTTTTCTTTGAATATCATCTCATTAACTATAAGTGAGTGGCAGGAAAACTCTTTACAACCTTCAGAGTGAAAACAAAGTGTTGTTGGTGGATAAATCCTATTTTATAATCAGCGGTACCAGCATGGACTTAAACACAAGGCATGCTTATTCAGTTTTGTCAGCATTTTATGGAGATTTGTGGTATATATTTATACTCTAGCTCGATCATCTCTAGATTTAGGAAGGCAATAACCAATGTCTATCAAGTTAAAGCAGTGTGAATGAACAGTTGGAAGTTGGAAACTGTAGAACATTGGAAGAAAACCAAAAATGAAAGTCATGTCTATGGTAGGGAATAAAAGAGTTGAAGATAATTTTATCATATTATGTGTATTTTCTCCTCTTTTACATACAGTATCCTTCCTATACAGAATAATGTGTTATTTATTATGGGGGTGTTTTTTTTTTAATATGTAAAAAAGAAATGTGTTTATCATTAGTATTTGGAAGACCCTTTGTTGCCCGAAACATAATAGCTGTCAAATGAAAGGTAAACAAGTAAAGGAACCTGCCCACAATTAAGATAACAATGGTAAACAAAAATTTCCCTTCACTAGTTATAGAATTAGATTTCAGAGTGATTTGTCTCAGGATTTCCAGTGTTAGTACAACAAATCTCCCAGTTTTCTTTTTCCAGCTTTTTGTTCAGTAGTACACCTTTTTGTATGGGGGAGAAAATCATCAACAGACTATTACGTTAAAGGAAGGAACTATATTTTCACATCCCATATAATTCTCAAGGAACATCCCTGTATAACTTTCTTTCCATCCATGCCTTTGGTTGGAGAATTAGTCTAAATGTGTCTCTTCATTAAAATCTTTAATTTATATGTCGTTATTTCAATATTAGAACACCTAATTAAGTGTTTACAAGGTATATTTTTCTAAATTTAATCATTTAGATTACATAATTTAGTCTCGTATCTAGAATATGCACTTAATATCTGTTGACTGACACTTGGAATAGTAGTTGTTTGTTTTTATTTTTTTTTTCTAGTTAACATTTGAAGCTCTGTGGTGTTTTTTTTGTTGTTTTTTTTTTGTTGTTGTTCTTCAAATCTTATAAGATTGAAATATGGATTAGAGATTGAATTTAAGTTGTATTTTAACAGGCAAGTGTCCTAGATTGGTAAACTTCTGATGGTGGTCTGTTGATAGATTTATCCATGGTTCTAATGAAGCACAGTTTTTGACTTTAAATGTTAGTGTAATATTTTCACCTAGTGTTTTTACGCTCAGATTTAGTAGTTATCTTTTGCCCTGCTGCAAACTTAGGCTGATATCATTCATATATACATATGTGTGTTATGAATGGTTTGTCTCTGCTTCTGCCTCATCCCCTCAAAATGATTACTTTACGGTGATGGTTAATGTAGATCTATATACACACAGAAGTATTTATATGTGCGTGGGTGTGAGTATATACACACATATATATCACTTGTTTATTTCAGTGTTTTCTTTTTGGCTCACACCGATAATTTGGTTTACATTTTTACAAAATAGAAAATTTATATGAATGTACTATAAATGGTCCTTTGGCACTTTAAAAATTTTTTAGAATGTTAGTAAATGTATTGATTTCATTATAGGATGGTGTTCTAACTAATAATTAACTAGGTGATGGTGTATCTTTTCAAGACTCATGAAAATTTGATCTCACTTTGTGAGTATAATTTAAATGAAGCCTATTTTAAATGGGCCACACGATTTACAATGCAGTATCATTGCAAAGGGGAAAGAACATAGACCTTTTCCAGACAAAAGACCCATTCATTCATCTGGCAGTATTGTTAGAAAATATGGTAACTATTTAACATCTCCATTAATTTAGAAATTTTTAAAAAATAAATTTTTTTATCAGTATTTTGTGTGATGTGGTGGTGAACGCAGGTAAGTAAACTTTTTGGAAATAAAGTGTTTAATATATCAAGTGGGCATTTTACCCACTGAGTTTCCCTCAGTAAAGGTGCCTTGGAGAAGAAATACAGGAACTATTTTTGCCAGAATTGTTTTTAAGCCCTTGCAGTTTGACCTAGTTTGAAATAATGTTTCATATTTCATAGGTGCGGGGAAGTAGATATTAAATTAATTGCAAAGTTATTTTTAACCTGTATAATTGAAATTATGCTTCTAAAAATGTTTACTTCAAGTGGGAGGGAATTGTTTTCATTTAAATGTTGCTTTTATTTGAAAACACACATTTGAAAGTTTGTGGTTTGTATTTTTTTTTTAAAAACCTGATTCAGGCATTGAAAGTAAAACCCTGTAATTCCTGTGCTTGTTAACATTTAGATGCCTAAATAGAGCAAAGAATTCCATTCTTTTTGTGATTATTTGTGTAATAATGTCTCAATTTTATAACACTTTGTTTACTAAGTTGTGGTAACATAGCCCTCTTCAGTATATAGTACAAATATTATTACCCTAAGTTTATAAATGAGGAAGCCAAGTCTCAGAACTGTCTAGTGACCTGCCAAGGTCATACGGTTAATAAATGAAAAAGCCAGGACTTGAACACAGAATTTTCTGATTCTAAGCTCAGTGCTCTTTCCATTATACTCTTCTGTTTCTGTTCTGTTTACCATTAGAAAGAATAGAATTCTGAATTAGAGTCCACACAGCTAATTTCTTTAAGAAAGGAATTAACTTTTAACTGTTCTGTTCCATAGTGTTAGAGAACACGACCAGTAGTTAGAACAAGAAACTATGTGTTATATCACACAGCTTGCTATTTTTTTTTTTTATTTGTGCAGCCAAGAACAAAACATTTTCTCTGCTGTTTTTGGGCTTTAATTGCACCAGCATCATTTTCAGGCAACTTCATGTATTGGTAACAAGATTCAGGTTCTACATAAAAACTCCATGAAATTCCTCATAATGTCATATCCGGAGTTCTCTTATTAGAATCATTTTTTAAATGTCTGTGTATTTTCTAAGTACAGTGTGCACATCGAAGGTTCTTAAGTTGTGGTTTAAAACTATTTATTTTGAATCCTAAGTAGGAGTTGAGTGTTACAGTGATCATATAAATCTTTTGGAATGGAGTATGAGAAAGTGCCGATTAAGTCAGAATTTTAATGCTATTAAGAGGATTTATGTTTTGTGAAGCTAAGCCCTACAAATAAAAACTAAATTCAATTTGCTGTTGGTGATTCATGACATTTGCTCCCCAGACTGAAATGTAGCAATAATTGTTTTCTTTTAAATCCTGGAGAGATTTCTTATTTTTAAAATTTTATGTAATATCCCATAGAAAAAATAGTATTTGATTTCATCCCTGTGAATTGTTCTAGGGTTCTTTTACTTCAGGAAGAGTTAAAGTTCTTCACTGTACTATGAAGGATGGGTACCACCTCTTTCCCAAACCTATAAATGCTTGCATTTAGTCTAATTCAGGCCTGCACAACCTGCAGCTGCTGACTGTGGGCATGCCAAGGATTTTGGGCAGCCTCTGAAAAATGTAAAGGAAAACATCCGCAGGTTGTATAGGCCTGGTCTAATGCATTATCTTACAGTGTTTGCCCAAATAGTTGTACTGACATGAAATCATAAATGATGGTCTATTTTTCAGTATGGCTGACCAATACAACACTTAAATATGTAAAAACATAATTAGTTCCTTGACTTGGCACAAGTTAATCTTCCTGTATAATTTGGAAAACGTGATCTTCATTTCTACCTCAGAGTAGGTTCTTAACAGCATCATGTAACATCATATGAAGACAAATGGCCAGTAATCTTTCCCCTATACTACCCAGGAAGCCTGAAAAATACTGCCATAGCAAAACTCATTGCCATGAATTGTAGGTGCATGAAATTATCTAGAAAAGGTAAATGTATTTTGAAATGGTTCCTAATATACTTAGATGCATTGGTGTTATAATTTGGAATGAGTACTCCCTCCACTGGCGCAGATAATACTCCTCTATGCCTTCCTGTACAATTCATAAGATATTGTCATCAAATGCTAAACGTAACTTACTTGATTGGCATTAACT